TTGTGAAAGCTGCTTTGATGGGGCTGATGTTGCCAAATAATAAAAATAACTGTTGTGCGGAGGCTGCGCTCACCACAAGGTATTTTCCATGTGTTGTCCTTTAGCATGACTACACCGGTTTACACCAATGCTCTGCAGAAAGCATTTATGTGCTCATGTGCAAGCAGTCCCAAAACATATGTTAGTTTTCCTGCTGCAAAAGCTTTCTTTTTTTTTTCTAGAAATCCTTTTGAATATCTAGGGGCTGTACCTGCCTCAGAATTGGTCAGTTGAATCAGAAATTGCTGTTCAAGGCACTCTATTTCACTGCTTGTGGGAATGTGCTGAGATCCAAAAATGTTGGAGGTCTGTGTTATCTCTTATCTCTCAGATCACCTCTTCTCCAATAACGTTAAGTCCTAAGCTGTGCATATTTGGTCTGTTTCCTGATGAATGTACTCTTTCTAAAAGAGAAGGGTAATGGTGGACCTATGTTTAATAGAGGCGAGACGTTCAATGTGTTGGAAAAATGTATGTAGTCCCTCTCTTGGACGTTGGTTAAAAGAATTATCAGCAAGGCTGGCTCTTGAAAAACTTACATATATAGTTAGGAAGAAAGCTTCAGAGTTTGGTAAAATTTGGGAGGTTTTTTTGGAATGGTACTGTTTTAAAAAAATAATAATCTTTCAACCAGATGAAGGGTTTTAGTCAGGGAGTGAACTAAAGTTATTGGTAACTTGGCAAGCAGCCCCCGGGCAAGAAGCCCTGTCAAAGAGTGTTGGAAAAACAAAGACTCCAAGCATGCAACAGCTTTTTCAAGTGTTTTAACTGGTTGCAGCTAGCTGGTTTTTTTGAAGAGAAGATGAGGAGGCCATATATTATGGAACATCCACTTCACCAAGTTTTTCTAACACTCGTGTCTGTAGTCTGTCTACAAACCTCACGAGAAAAGTCCATCCTCTCCGTCTTTTGCCTGCTCCACTTTTCAGAAAATGTGTGCTCAAATAGGCCGTTTGGAGATTTTCCCTTCATGACATCACAAAGGGCAGTAACCCCACCCCCAGGTGGGTGTCACTCCCACAGCTAGGTGTTTGTTCTGCCCTCTGAGTCTGCCTTCTCACCGTAAACAATAGAACATGGAGCGAGATAGCCCGAGACACCCGAGCCCCTTCCAGAGAGGGGGCGTGGTCAAACACAGCTCATTTACATTTAAAGGTAAAGACACAGAAACAGCCTGTTCTGAGCAGGGCTGAAATAGAGGGGTTTATAGATATATGATCAAATACAGGATCAGAGTGGATTTAGAACAAGAAACTTCACACACATGTTTTGAGGAGCTCTGAGAATTATTTTAACTGGTTGAAGAGGAGGAGAATATGTGGCCTATAAATCTCTGACTTTTCAGTGTAGTAACTTTAAAAACAGGCCAGGGAGGGTCTCATTTCTCAACTGGATAATGACCTTTAAGCTGAATAGTACTTCATCGTTTAAAAAAGATAACATTATTTAACACCATGCCCAGATTGTCAGCTTATTCTAAGAAATCTTCACTTAATGAGTCAAAAATGGACATTTTTAGATTGCAGTAATCAAAATGCAAACGCTGCAGCAGGTCTGAAGGGTTCCTTCACTGCTCACTCACTCTAATATTTCCCAAAGAAAACAACCTGTCACTAAGTTTTAGATATGGGAAATTTTTCATTCGAGTAATCCCAATCAGGAGCCAAAGAAAAGTTTTAAAACCATCTTTTCCTCCAAGCAGGGTTCATACAGAGATTCTGACTCACACTGCTGTTTGTTCTGGATCATGTAAAGTGTGGTCAGTGTTTTTTTCAAAAGTGTGAGGGTGACCTGGCAGCAGAGAAACAGAGAGCGAGAGAAAAAACCTCCACACACACAACTCCCGCACTGACTGTAAAACACCTTCGTGGGCAGTTTGTGTTCCCAGGTGGACTGAAGCTGCCAGAACGGAGGCAGTGAGGAGGGCAGAGCCGGCCTGGTCTGCAGGTGCTCACAGAGGCAGGGATTGTTCCCTCTGGAGACGGATGTGGGGGGCTGGGAGAAACCAGAAGTTGTGTATCGTAAACATATACACGCACACACACTGAGACTCTCCCTTCAAGCGCTCTGATTACGTCAACCTCCTAACCTCTTCTTCACACCTAGGCTCTCCGTCTGCGCCCACCCGCTCTCACAGCTCGCGGCCCCCGACTCCCAGCATTCCTCAGGCCGGTGTGAGGAAGAGGTCGCCGCCTGGGGATCAGGGGCCAAGCGGAGTCTGAATCACGACAGGTTGGAACAGGCCAACCTGATAAACAAACAAACAGCAGCCGTCCTCTTTAGCCATGCTAACTGTGTGTCTCAGAGAAATGCAGGCACAGAGAGAAAAACAGCCACACTTGCCCCTCTAGTAACAAACTGTGTGAGCGCACGAGCCAATACAAACAGAATTAAGAGCAAAACAGCCCTCTTACCTTCCTGTTTCTGGTTAACATCTTATACAAATCTCTGCAGCACGAGCCGTTAAGAACACCTGCAGGCTTCAGGGTTTCACAAAAACTTGCACCATGTGGTTAAAAAACAAACAAATGAATTACAAGGCTTGAGCTGCAACTTAAAGACCTGGACCCTGTTTGTCTTTTGTTGTGTGTGAACAAGCACAAAATTTAATTTGAATTATATGTAATTCTAACAATGCAAAAGAGGGATTCTGCACTGAGAATATCAGACTTGGACTGGATCAGATGTCTGCACTCAGACTTTACCGTCTGCACACCCCTGCAGTGTAAGAAATATAAATATTTAACATGTAGATGCAGCTAAACTCTGCATTGGTTTATGCAATAAACAAATAAAAGACAATACAAGAAACAACTGCACAACAATGCTCCTTTGTGTGTGTGTGATTCACCACTCGCTCTAAAACTAATAATGCATGTTTTATTCTACGCAGTGGCATCATTAGCGGTCTGTACAGATCTCACATGAAGGATAGAGGGAAATGGATTTCTTTGAAACACCAGAAGCTTTCCATTTTTTTCAACCAATGCTGCAAAATCCAATAAAACATAAAAAAAAGCTCAAGAAGGAGAAACACAAGAGCTCTAGATTCTTCATTCTACAGTCAAACAGGGTGTAAACGACATTTTGGAGATCGTGAAACGCTGTATTTATCCTAAAGCTAACAGAAGTTATAACACTGATTTCTTTTTTCCTGCAGGATATTTTTGTCCTGAACACACCATTCAGCTCGCCTCAAGTCAGTCTTAGAACGTCAACGTGAAGGAGGAAAACACTGGGCTGTATTCTTCCCCTCCTCAAACTTCAACCTGACCGCTCGGCCTCAATGGGACTTTGTGTGCAGGTTTGTGTTTGAATGAGTCGGAGGCTACATGCAGACAAGACCAGGTCCTGTCCTCACATGAGAGGTCTTTGCATGGTATCTCCCTAAAAGGTGAATTAATTGGGGTGCGCAGAGTGGAACAGGAAACCCTGCCCTGAGTCCTCAGACGCTCCGAGTACATGCATGCAGCCTGCCTGGCTACCAGCTATGTTTTCCTTTCTGTTGATCTGCTGCTGCTGTGAGGAAGTCTCAACTCAACATGTTATAAACTGCTGCAAAGTAAATATTACCCGCTTCCAATTAAAGCTATAAGATGGAACAACCTGCACTGAATGGGCAAAATAAGGAAAGGCCTTGTGTAGTTTTTTGAAGTTTGGTACTTACTGCACACAATTCCAAATGTTTCCAGAAAAGTACAAAGCAGGAAAATGTATTAAAAGTTAAAGTAGTTTTCTTATTGTGGCCTCAACATGCAGACAATAACACATTTGATCCCTCGTTACTTCACAACTGATGTCCAGTTAATGCTCCACATTATTACTAATTTTACATGACCTCCTTTCACAAAAGCACCGCACTCCTGGAAGTTTCTGACAATTTCAAGGAAGGGTGCAAAAGTCCAATCTATAAAAGGCCGTATGAAGTCAGTATGAGCTGATGTGCGACCGCCACTTGCTCACCACGACCAGGTGATCAGGACAATGACATCATCCACGTTGTGTGGAGCTTCTCTGCTTTTCACTCGCCTTTGTTTTCCACTTTTGTATTTGTCTTGAAGGAAACATACTTTACACGATGCAGTGATATTAATCCAAAAACTGTCCTAGTACATAAGAGACCTCCGCGTCCTGCACGCCCACCCATCTGCCACCCCCCCCCGCAAAGTGTTTCTCACACAGATAATATTTCAAAAGCCCTTTTTTAGACTGCTTTTACCACAAAAGTGCCAAAACTAAGCTAAGCCGCTACCACGTCTTTGTACGGTCACATTGATTTCATGACGGCGTAATATCTGTGTCCCAGTCTGTGAGTTCATATTTTGTTTCGGCGTTGCAGAAGCACGACACAGCTGGAGCTCCACATACACGTTACGTTAATGTATGGCAGCTTGAAACGATGGTCTGAATAGAGCTACACTGAGGTTCATGTGTGAAAGGCATGTTCCTGAAGATATCAGGGCGTGGACGTTCTGAAATTATCTAGAACATGTCAGGAGTTCATGTGTCAAAGAGGGCTTTGGAGATATGATTAACAACGAGAATCAGCATCTGTTTTTGGGTCGCTCTCTTACACAACCTGCAGGGAGGAAAGATGAGACTGTTTTTATGTGCTTTCTTTGGTTTCTTTTTTAAGAGAAAGATGTGAGGCAGTACTTAATCATCGGTGGTTTATTTGTGAAGATTATCCATCTTTTAAATTGTGTTGTCACTACTCTACAAAGTATAAACCTCTTTACTGTCCCTGTGTAAAGAAAGAGCAACATGTCGGGCATATTTTCTGTGAACTGATACTCTCCGTGTGGGCAGGTCGAGCCTCTGGCTTTCATTGTTCCATCCAATTTTAGACAACAACTAAACATCAGAGTCAGGCAATAATTACCCTCATCACACGGAGAATGCGTTCAGAAGGATAGCTAGCATTTTTCACACGTGTAATTATGGGATTAAAGGAGACTCACCTGTTTGCAACAAGCCGATCCCGCTGTCTGACACTCCGTAGTGCCGCTGGATGTCTTGAAGGACGCCTGAAAACAGAGACAGAGAGAGAGGACGTTAATGTGGTTTCATAATCCTTATGACAAGCATTTAAAGACTCCACTCTATTTGACTTATAGCTACATTAATCGTCAATCTTTTCTGGCGTGTTGTTATTCCCGGAGATGATTGATAGAGAGCTATTATTCACCTTACATCCCAGAAGAGTAATATATGATCCTTGATAAGTGCTCTCCTGGCTGCCATACAACGAGTTCACTGCAGGTTTTTTATAGGGATAATTTCTGGTGTTACATTTTCAAACACACCTTCAGATAAACACACAGAAGCACGTTCATAACACACACACACACCGCACTCTCTCCACCATTTTCATATGAACATCTGTGTGGAGCAGCTCCAGCAACGAGCCTGGAGTTGATTTTGGTTTCACCAGATGAGGCGCTGAATATTTCAGTCACACAGACTCACAGGAAAAACCTAAACATCGCTCCCCCTGTGAGAAAGCACATGCTCTCCTGCACTCGTCTCAATCCTGTTACTGTAACCTGAGAGCAGGAATGGAGAACCGTCACATTCTGAGCATGTCTGTGATGCCTTAATGAAGTGACCGACACCAGGTGCTCAGTCGAACACATGAGAGCAGCTGAAGATCGGCTCATCACGACATCACGTATCAGAGTGTGTTTCATTTGGCTGCGCTGTAAAGCACACATGAGAAATGTCATAAAGTTTTTTAACACATCATAAAGATCAGACGATGAAGATGAAGATCAGGCGACGATCAACCAGACAATTTTTACGCTCCAGTTAACAAGAAGCAACAAGTCTCATCAAATGAAGTCTGCTCCCTCATGAGGGCGGCAGCCTGTAAAGGTTCAAAGTCGTAGTTTCTAACTGAAGAGATAAATTAGAAGGAATAACACATGTCTGAAGTGAATATCTTTGCAGCCCAGATGTACCGGGTTGTGCTTGGTGGTGCTGGCTGACTCTCTCTGTGGAGCTGGCAGCTCTCATGAGCTGTGTTGAAATCCCCAGAACATGAAGATGGAGCAGCAGCAGCAGCATGACTAATGCTTTAAGGAGCTGCCGCGTCTGATCAGTCTGCTGCTCTCCTCTCCTGAGCTGCTGTAGAGTAACCCGAGGTAACCTGAACTCTACAGCGCACCTGAGCCTCGGTGACTTTCTGAAATACCTACATAGGTAATAATTTTAGATTCTGCTCCTGAATGCTCTGGATTTGTTTGGACCAGAGAAGGTAGGCGGTTTTAAGGCCCCCCAACACGGCCGTTTTGGACGCCCCTCAGTTTGCCAGATATGAGAGCAGTTATCAGGTCAACAGGTGTTGCAGGGATGGAAGCGGGCAAAAGAAGTGGTTCAGATAGAAGTGATTGTACCCGACCTAAAAAGCCTCTGCATGTTTCTAATAAGCTCCACGAGCAGAAACGTGCTCAAACTAGGATCAATATTGGAGATGCTTTTGAAAAATGGAGAGAGGTTAGAACACAGAAAGGTTTACAGACTGATGCAGAGCTGGATAAACACTGAAGCTTCAGTGTTCACCACATGGTGACCTGCGTGAACATCGACTCCAGATCCCGTTTTCTCAAGGATGGTGCATTAAAGAGAAGGATGAAAACGATCACAGTCATACCGGCAATCAGCTGCACCCAGAATAATAGACAAGGTTAATTCTCCCTGGCTTAGTGTTGGCACGGCTCGCCTAGTTGTTAACGCAGAGACACGGCATGTTTTATGGCAGGTTAGACTGAGACCTGAGCGGAGACATACGTCAGATTCCTATCACCTGAGTCAAAGCACCTGCTCACATTCTTACACTGCACGTAGCATTCCTGTTAAAGCCCAACTCTCACACCTCTGTGACCTGTTTCTCTTTCATAATGAAGTGGTGAAAAAGGTGCTGGTCATCTCCCGGTTTCGCTGAAACTCATCGACACGTATCAGGAACTATAGACTATGAATTCCTTTAATACATTTGATCTGCTGCACAAGATCAGCTTCCACATGTGGTTGCTGTGTTCCCTGATAGCAGTTCTCACAGCAGTCTGAGCGCACAATTATTTGGCAATTATGCCGCAAACTGCCCCGAGGCAGGTAAGAGTCAATTTACATTTCTACTGCAAGGCAAATCTCAGCTCATGTCAGGGTGTTAGTGAAGAAATCCGATCCCATTTTGTCGCACCTCGAGGGTAAAGTTAATTCTCTTGTCAAGAAGGGACACACAATAAAAAAAGTGGGACACAAACACACACTTGTATCCTCTTAAAAATCCTGGAAGTTGACATCGCTACATCTCCTTGCACACACACTGGTTGTGACAGCGACTCCTCGCCCCCTGTCAGGCCTGTCACACAGCGACAACAGCGTTTAACAGTGTACTGTTCGACTGCAGCTGTACTCTAATTAGCCTGGATGAAGTGCACGCACACACACACACACACACACACGCACACACATGCACACACACACACACACACACACACACACACACACACACACACACACACACACACACACACACACACACACACTTGACACATACACACAGCCTGCTGGGAGGGGGATTCCTGCACCAGATGGTGGAGCGTCCCTCCTGGACAGAGAGTCTGGATTGTCTGAGCCACACCCGTCTACACTTGGCACACAATTGCAAGACAATTAATAAAGGTGGAGCTGAAAAATGGGACTTACTGTAATATTAGGATGGAGGTTAGTTTCTGTGTGATACAGAATATACAGCTCTGCTCTGACAAGATCTGCTACATATCCGACTAAAGTTATAAGATACAAAACATGATTTGTGACATGTGCAGCTGAATAATCCTCCACTGAAGTTAAGTGATCAAAGCAGCAGTTTTTATTGTACTTGATTCAGGAGCGCTGAGCTGTGTAACCATACTGAGCTAATCTGTGACTGATTACAGCCCGCAGCTCTGTGTTTGTGCAGCAGACTGATTCTCTGATGGGGAACCAGACACTCAAACCTTGCCCCTTAAACTTTTAGTATTGTCGCTCAATCGACTACTTGTCTGCTTCCTGTTGAACAGGAAGGTGACAAACACCGGCGGTTAGCTTGTGCTAGCGGGTGTTAGCTTGCAGTGTAGGTACAAGCAGTAAACGTACACACTACGTCCTGCAGTGAGGGTGAGCTTCTGGGGGGTGATAATCCCAGTCAGGAGGGGCCCAGTTTGAATTTTGTGTTTAAGTTTTCCTCTTTGACATTTTCCCTGCTTGGCCTTTAAACAGACTTTTCTTATCTGATCCTAAGAAGCTCAGATTTATGAGTTTGTATTTTATTAGAGAAAATGTAACGGTCATGAGCTATTAGCACAAAGAGGTTCAGTAATCTGCTCACTGGTGATGTATTACAACCTCAGCCCAAACTGGCAGCACCCCGTTCTGTTGCCATGGCGATGCAGTACGAGCACTCACCAAAACAATAAAAATAAAGGTCAAGAGACCACAAAGCATCTCAGCCCTGACAAATCTCTCAGCTGCCTTTTTTTCTGATACTGAGTGATGTTTCCACTGTGCAGCATAAATCCTCAATTACACAGGAAATTAAACGATACCAGAAATAAAGAACAGAGCATGACAACACAGCAGTAGTATAAAGAGGGCACGTTTCATTACAGCTAAATATCAGGTCACTGTAGTTGTAGCAACGCTGCAAATGTGACCCAGCAGATCCATTAAAGTGAGCAGTAATGAGTTCCTCAGTCTCGATCCGCCAGGGGGGGCCTGAGCTCATCTGAGCGTGACGTCGGACAGAAACACGGCAGGAATGTGGATCTTCCAGACGGCGCGCAGCAATAACTGCAGCTCCCTCCATCTTCATTTAAGGTAAAAGAACTCACAGGTACTCTGTAGGCCACGCCCTCTGACACACATGTACAAGCAGGACACTAAACCGTGTGCGTCAGAAGCATAAAAGAAGTGTGTAGGACAATTTAAAGGGAAGTCTAGGTGTCCTCCTCCGTAACATTTTCAATAGAGATGTCATTTCCTGCATTCGGATGCATTTAAACATGTTTTGATACTTTTTCTGGCTGTAGCATGACCCCAGACTGGATCACCTGAAAGAGACCCGTTTACTGAGTAACTGTCCTGGACAAACACTCAAAATAAAAGCATTGTTTGATATGCAGGAAGTCGTATCATAGAAAATAAAACAACAAAATCGGGCTTTTACTTTGAAAACTATACCAGAGTCATGTCAGATGCATGCTGGGTGCTGCATATCCTGCATATATGCTAGTTCACCGTTCTACAAAGATATGACACTTTCCCACTTTGTCTTTCTAAGACATTTGTATTTGATTCTTTTTCCTTCTTAGTTTGTTTTGCCCTGAAAAATCATGAAATCATGATTTAGGGGAGAGTGGGAAAGTCACTCTCCCGTGGATCAAACGCTACCAGGTGACGGCTGAGCTTAGGATGTCTGATGAAATGTTTTTTTAGACATCAAGGTTTGTATACTAGCAAAGACTACTGTAAATGTAAGGGCTTTTTCACTTAGCCGTGGTGACTTGACAGACATTTGTGTGAGTGGAAGTTTAGAGTTGAGCTGAAATCAGGCCCTTTCATGTGATGCTGAACTGTAGAGTTAGTGTGTCTGCAGACAGTCACAGTGGTCACCAGCAGACACTCAATCCAGCCTCTCATAGAGTCTGCCTTTATTACAAGACTTTCAGTCGGGCAGCAGTAGAAATGACTCAAGATAGTGAATGTGAACGTTTCACAAATGCTGCTTTTAGGGCGACGTTCATTCACATGAATGCTGCTTTAGTCTCTGCTGCAAAGACAAGGCAGACGATTTATTGGCTTTACTGGCTGGAGTTTGTGATTCAGTGTAAATCAATCAAGCTTCAGAAAACTGAGGATGTTTTTATCTGCAGCATCATGATTGCAATAAAACCTTGTTCTCCAGTATGCTCTCCACTCTTTAGCTGATGTCACGTCTTACCTCAGGAGACCCCTCGCCCCCCCTCCTGTCTGACAGAGATAA